CTACCATTGAGAAATTTTAACCAAACTATGTTACAGACTTTTCATTAAGAGCCTAAAGAATCATATCAACTTGTGGAAAATGGGCATCATATGACCCACTTTAACAAGCCAGCAATAGAAGGTGACCAATTACCAGTAGAAACTCACAGGGTCTATTACAGTTTCCATTAAACAAGTCCCATTATAACCAGTAAAACCATTACAAATTTTAATATGTCTATTTTTAATCTATTTTTTATTTTTCAGCAGCGTAGTATAAACAGCATGGAAATGATCTGTCTGGACACCTAATCATTATTTTAAAAAACATCTCTAGTTTTATCTATTGTTTAAATAATAATAAAAAAAATAGTCTGAGCACATTAACAATCACATGTAATATTAAATAGGATTAACTCTGTCCATTAATGTATGATTATGGTACCCAGATTTTACATTTCTTCAGCACCAAATAAAAATTACTTTAACACAATAAAGTTATGGCTCTGAATTTGGGTCTTACAGCTTCTTGTAAAAATTTTTGCAATATCAATTTCAATATCAAGTTTAATCCTCAAAAGCAGCTTTTCAGAAACATCTTCAAAATATTTTATTTTGTGGATATGGAATTCACCTGTCATTCAACTGTTTAAATTTCAGATATTTAGATAGACATGTAAGGTCAAAAATTATCAAAGACTTCTGCTTTCCTGTCCCAAACCTATCTTCAGTAACAAAAGGGCCATTTGGCATTCCTGAAGTGCTGATATCGATCAAGGCCTGTAGGCCAACATGTTTATACACCGGGGGTCTGCTAATTGTCACACCTTTTGCCCAGTGGGTGAAGTTATAATCTGCTGATTGGTCAGTTTGAATGTCTCACATTTGGTTTTTAGTCACATGGTCAAGGAAGGGATAAAAGAGGACTGTAACTGTTGCTCTGGCTCTTTCCTTGGCTGGCTCTTTCCTTTGCTGCCTCTTTTCTTTGTTGGAGCTCTTCTTGGGTCTCTGCCCTCTCTCCCTCTTTTTCTTCTGCTCTCTTTCTCTCAGGTAATATTTTACATGTTGGGTACAATTAACTATGCTTTACCATCCTTCATCTATTTTGTAACCAATTCAAGTGTAACCATAACAAAATATTGTTATTAAACCATTTCAATTATTAATTATGTGCTAACTAGTCTTGATTCAAGGTTAATATTAAAGTGCTACTTATTGCAATACAATAATCACTCAATAGCAATGCTCTCCCACATATTTAGCTATTCTAACTGCGCTTATTTCCGTCATTGGTATAAGTGGCAGTGGGTGGTAATAGACTAGAAATGTACAGTTTTATACCATCGTGCTGATAACATTTCTTTAGTCATTCGGCAATCCTACAGCCTGAACCACCGTAGGGATACCATCCTTACAACATCAAGACTATATTTGCGTGTGAAACTCTTTCCACACTGAGTGCAGGTGAAAGATTTCTTGGCTCTTCTTTAAATCTTTCTGTTTTGTTTGAGAGCACTTCAGAATTGGAAAAAACCCTTTGAGTTGATTTTTTCCCCTCAACTTCACTGAATTCTTAATTCTCCTCATTTTCTTAATCTTCAATCAACTCTGAAATAAAAGTAAAATGCTTTATTTTAATTAACTCATGAAAAAAATAAATGTGAAAAGAAATAAAAGTGAACCCTGATGTAGAAATTGCTATACAACATTTTGATCATTTTGGTGCAGTTTTATAAATACATCTAGTACATTTTATATATACATTTCTGAAGCTTTTCATGAATGAGGTACACTGATCTTCAAATTAGTGCTGGGCGGTATGACCAAAAATGTATATCACAGTATTTTTCAAAATTATACCGGTTTCACGGTACATGACGGTATTTTTTTTTTTCATGCATGACCGGGTGTTAACCATATTTTCTACTGATTGAGAAATACTGCAGTATATTGACTTAAAATGCCCTATTTTACTGTCATGATGAGTGCATATTGTCAAAATACCACACTAAATAGTGACTAAACACAGCCCCTTTTAATACATGTTAACCAGGATTCACTTTCATTTATAATCGCGGCATCGTCTGATAAAATCAACATGCATCTACACTAAAGAGCGGCTATGCGGTTGTTTTGGCTATATTACTTTTTTGTCTCGTGCAGTGCACTGCCTGCGTCTGAGTAACAAACTAAAAAAACAACAAACAAAAAAGTGCATGTGATATTAACAGACGAACTACACTCATATTTATAATTCCAAACAATCTGTAAGCGACAGGTGCTAGGAAACGCTGTTTTGTACTCATTTATTGACGAGTCGGCTGCGGTACGGCCAACTGAATGCGCTGCTTCTCTGCCACTCACTGCACAGAACAGACGCCGAGAGAGGTGACACTTCTCCGGGAAAGTCAGACCTCGCGTTCGCGGGACAGCACTGGCGAAATCTTCCAACTGAACCATAGCTAAGGTGTATCCAAAAAAGTCACTAGGTTTGTCAGTATGAATATTCTACGGAAAAAATCAGCTAAAAGGGTCTGAAAGTTGCTAAATCTAGTGCTAAAATCACGCTCGTGTGTGTGAGACGGGGAGCTGATGGCAGGGGGCGGTGGATATTTGTGGAGGTCAATGTGGATATTGTGGATGAGTTCTTCTGTGTCATCACGTTCTATTAGTTCTACAGCTTCAGTTTCGGAACTTTCACGCTTAGTAACACATGCTGTTCCCTCACCACAGTGCAACAGTGAAAAGGGACCCCCTTTCAAACAGTGTTGCGTTCCGAACGTTGTTTAAGCGACATACACCAGTATTGCGGTATTTTAAAATTTCATATCATAACAAAAATAAACACCGGTATTCGGTATGAACCGGTATACCACCCAGCACTACTTCAAATTATGATTTTTAAAACATTATAGGCACAAATTCCATGTTTCTATAGGGAGAACTATTAAATATGTTTGATCAACTACACAATCTAACAAAGAAAAAATTTGTTGGAAAAAAAGTACCCAGTTTACAGAAAGTGTCCCTTGTTATTTGATTATTTAGCTATATTACTGCAGAGCTCTAAAGAATTTTCCAATTACAACAAACACAATCTAAAACTACTTAAAGGGCACCGATAACGAAAACGCATCACAGACTTGTGTCTTGATATTATCGCATGTGGAAACAGTTGGCAAGATAGTTAGCTTGATAATATTTATTTACCAATAATAAATTATGTATTTCCTTAATATCACCAGCACCAAAAGCAGAACAGTTAACATTAGAGCTTATCAATATCACTGTCTTTCATAATTTAGCCCCAGGGCTCATTACTGGGTTCAGGTATTCATTCCTACTTACAAGAGAAGTAAATAAGGATAAATTACAAAGCTCCATGACAGTATATCTTGCATATGTGTTTTCTAAATATATCATAGAAGAATAACTTGTTTTAAAAATAACAATGAAGAATCAATTAAAAATAAATCGTGCTTCTCTTAAAAGTGTTACGGTCTTTTCTTCAGCTTCCTGAACGAGAACAGTTTGTAAAAACGTCTACTTTCCCTTCATGAAAGAGTAAGTAAACTACAAGTGATACATATGCATTATAAGACAATTGAACATGAATTGAATGAAACTCACAAGAAAGTACTATGATATCCTTTAAATCATGAAGCAAATGTATATACAATAAAACTTTTTGACATTGTTCTTTGGGGAGGAACTCTCCAACATCTTTGAGTTGATCTGAATCTCACAGTTGAATCTGCTGGTTTTGAAGATGGGGATGCACTTTATTCACTGTGAAAACGTTAGATAATGTTTCTTTGTCATGTCATGGTTAGAACAGATTTATCCAGATGATATTTTACTGCTTGGTGCATTATTGTGTCACATTTGTTTAGGATGCAGCATCAGATCTAAAAGTGCTGGATCTGAAGATGATCTACTTAGAGCTCATCCACACGAAGCCATTGCTTTCCCAATCCAATCTTTTATTTTCTTGTTCTTCCGTAAACACAGCGTTAGGGATGTGCGGTATACCGGTACTCTAAAAATACTGGTATCTATTATATTTCAAACAGTACGATATCATAATTTCGCTCAATTCTGTATTTAATACACTGCCATCCCTACACAGCTTTGTCTCAATAAATATCTGCATGTACACACCCACTGAAACCAACTCAAAATAATGTAGTATTCATGTCAGACCAGTATGTGGCGCTGTAATGACTGGGGTCGAGATGTGGGGTGATGACAACATCGTTTCACAAAATATACAGACTGGCTGTACACACAAGACACAAAGGTGTCATTTTCAGATTTATCCACTCCGGGACCTGGTTTAAAAAATAATAGTGTTTTCAGGCTCTCAAAACACCCGATCCATCTGGACGAAACTCCGATATGATCTTTTTTTTTTTACATATACAGCTAAACTATAAAGTAGTTTACTAAAGTATAAAGCTAAAGTGTGTATGGAGCCTTACTGTGATAGTTTTTTGTATGCCTGTGTAGAGCAGATGAATGAATGAAACGCTTCCCACATGCAGTGCAGTGATACGGTTTCTCTCCAGTGTGAATCCTCTCATGTCTTTTCAGATTTGATGGATGACTGAATCTCTCGTCACAGTGTGAACACTTATAAGGTTTCTCTCCAGTGTGGATCCTCTCATGTGTTTTCATATGTACTGACTGACTGAATCTCTTGTCACAGTGTGAACACTTATAAGGTTTCTCTCCAGTGTGGATCCTCTCATGTGTTTTCAGGTCTCCTGACTTATTGAATCGCTTGTTGCAGTGTGAACACTTATAAGGTTTCTCTCCAGTATGAACCCTCATGTGAACATTAAGACTTGTATTGTGTGTGAAACTCTTTCCACACTGAGTGCAGGTGAAAGCTTTCTTGGCTGTTCTTTTCTTTAAATCTTTCTGTTTGGTTTGAGAGCAACTCATAGGTTTTTCTCCAGTTTTGACATGATTTTTCTCCTCAACTTCACTTGATTCTTTATTTTCCTCGTTTTCTTCAATCAACTCTGAAATAAAAGTAAAAAAGGGTTTATTTTCAGTAACTTGTTAAAAGCTGAGAAATGTGAACATAAAAGTTGGACATTTTGTTTATCACTGAAACTTGGCTGACTGTTGGAGATTTAAGCCCAGAAACTGTATCATCAGACTTTTGTTATTTTAGCTCGCCAAGGACTCTTGGTCATGGTGGAGGCACTGTGGTTGTTTTTAAAAAACACCTCACTTGCAGACTGTTTCCTTGTGGATCATTTCAGAGTTTTGAAGTACTATCATTTGAACTGGTCTTATCTAAACTGATTTTATGTGTGTTGATTTATAGACCTCCTAAATATAACTCTTTATTTCTGACTTTTCTGAGCTGTTATCTGGGATTGTTCCGTTATTTGATGATATCTTGGTCATTGGTGATTTTAATGTTTATGTTTGTTGTGAAACAAATTTTCAAGCAAAGGAGTTTTTAAATCTTATTGACTCTTTTAACTTTAAGCAGTATGTGAATGAATCTACGCATCACCATGGTCATATGCTGGACTTGATTTTAGGCACTGGTACATTTGTCAATAATGTTATGGTCACTGATAATTATTTCTCTGATCATAAACCTGATATGTTTGAAATGAATTTGTCATGTACTCCAGTCAAGCCACAATTCCAGACATATTGTTCTCGTAGTATTACATAATTTACAGTAATAGCATTTGCTGAAGCTTTCAGATCCTCAGCTGCATTTTTGATAGTTTGCCGCCTTCTGTTGACACAAATGAACTGTTTTTATTAGAGCCCGACCGATATGGGTTTTTTGGGGCCGATACCGATACAGACATTAGGGAGTAAAAAAAGGACGATATCGATATATCGGCCGATATTCTGTGTGTATATTATAGTACAGTACCAGTCAAAAGTTTGGACACTTTCCCATTCGTGTGTCCAAACATTTGACTGGTACTATACATATATATATCTCAAATGTGGTGATCAAACACTTATAATGATGTGACAGAGATACGTAATGGAGGCAGGGCATTTAACAATTTAACAATAAACTTTATTATCCAAAATGAGTCTGACATCAGTGCACTGAACATTAAAGTTGATTCAACTTTAATTCAATTCAATTCCATTCCACTTTATTTCGTTGAAGTTTGTTAACATTCATTCACGGATTTGCGCTACTGTCTTCACACACAGATGAAACTTACTAGAGAAATGTGACATAATATACCTCTGTAAATAAATACAATATAAATTCATGTCTCGCGCACTTTAATGCCCTTTGAATGTAACGTGTACATTCCCTTAGAACTGGAATCATGGTGGAATTTCATGTGAAGTCCACTTCGCAGGGCACTTACGGTCAGATAAGACCACGCTTGAATGCTGCTGCCTGAACAAGAGACCTACTTACTGAAGTGAAAGTGTTGACTGATCTCCACCAAATTTGGGGGGAATCCCTTCAGCTCGAGGAGTCCTCTCGAACACCACCCTACGCGCATCGGTAGCTCCCAGGGATCGCTTGATCGGTCGGCACCGGACCGCGAATTTAACCACCCGTAACTCTCGAACCCCGGGGGCTATCGATGCGGGGGTGGTCTCATTCGAAAGTGGGCCTCTAGACATACACTCGATTAGCGTTCGAGAGGGTTCCTCGATGTGAAGGGATCCCCCGAATTTGGTGCGGATTCGCTGCGCCGTTACAGAGATATGGCCGTTCAAAGTTTCAATGGTTTTCCATAGACATAAGCTTTAAAGCGTTTCATCCAGGTTGCCAGTAGCAAACAATAGTGCGCACTCTGCTGGACAGACTAAGTAATTACACCATTTCAAGCATTTTATCTGCGTTATATGTTCTGTAAAAACATTTCATTTCATGCGGCATATTCGCCGATATCGATATATCGATGACAGGCTCATATCGGCCGATAATATTGGGCTCTAGTTTTTATTGTTTGTTCAGATATACTGTACCATATTGCTCCGTGTAAAGTTCGGCATCGGAAAGTCAAACCTCTTCCATGGGTAAATGACATGATACGTTCATTAAGACGAGGGATTCTTTGACTAAATTTCAGGAAGCAACAAAAATGGCTAGAGCAAATTATTTTTCTGAAATTGTTGTAAAGTATTCTCATCAACCTTGTGTGCTTTTTAATACTATTAACTCCATTTAAGAGCCTTCAGTTTCAGTTTGTCTTGAGTCTTCAGTTGCAATATGTGAGAGATTTTTTTTAAATGTTATTGATAAAATCGAGTTGCTGCGGCTCCCTTAGGCTCCTTTAGAGCCTTTAAGATGATGTCGCTTTCGGAAATCACTGAGATCATGGGTATGTTAAAAGTAGGGCTGCTCATTTATGGCAAAAATCATAATCACGATTATTTTGGTCAATATTGTAATCACGATTATTTAACACGATTATGAGGGGGCCATATGACCAAAACTTTATATGAGTGATTTATTTAAAGATAGTGATACATATCAAATATATACAGTGCCGTGAAAAGGTTTTTGCCCCCTTATTGTTTTTTATTAAAATTAGTTTGATGATCTGAATCTTTTAAGTGTGACAAATATGCAAAAAAAATTAAAAACAGGAAGGGGGCAAAAACCTTTTCACAGCACTGTATTTCCTGTAAATAAGGTTGCTATGACATCTACATTGTAGAGACCAGCGGAATTTCAAACAAAAAGTCCTCAATTATTGAAAAGTGTCAGTAATAAAAAAAGCAAAGGACAAATACAATAGAATAAAAAAAGAAAAATGAAACAAACTGTGCTTTAATGTTTTTTTTATGCAAGTCTCAAGCAGTTTACAGCCTACTACAGAAATGAATAATCAAACGTAAAATAAAACAGCATAGTTATCACTGTTTCGCTACAAAAGTCCTTCACTCAAGAACAGTGTGAATTTGTCTTTTGTTGTTTGATTAATATTAAGCACACAGTCGCAGAAGGAAAATAGCCCGCTGTCACTTTAAAGAGCTGCACGGATCCAATTTACCGTTACACGTGTATTTTCATTCTCAACTCTCTACGGTCATTTATTACATGACCGACGGAGGTATACATGAATAATCACTAACCGCCGCATTTTTGCGTGTATTTGACCGTTTAGGCGCGCACCTTGAGCTAAAAGATGATTTTACATGTCCGTGTTCTGTTACGTCTCTGAGCACATATATCTTCCTGAGGAGCAGCGCAAGTTCTCTTTCACACTTTTGAAAACATTAATAAATATACTTATATAAATCAAGCACGTCCCATTTTGCTAAAGTCACGTTACATGATTTTACTGATTTGCAAGTGAAATTGGGCTTTTATGGAGGAACGAAAGCGCAGCGCTGGAAAAGGGGGCGGAATGGGGCGCAATAATATTTTTATCTCGATTATTGTATTTTCATAATCGTTTCATAACCTCATCTCTCCGACGACGACTCCTCTCTCTCACACGTCTCATTCGCTGCGGTTAAATAGTGCTTGTATTGCGCATTATTTTAGTCATTCCCCGCAGGTTTCGCGCTTATACCAAATGCTAACTGCGCTAAAACGTTCAAATACATAAAAAATTGTGTCAAAATGCCCGTTTTGGCGAGTATCCAGTAAAACACAGTCAGTTTTGGAACATTAAATAGTTGAGAAAGAGAATGCATGTTGTGTAACTGTATATTGGGTCCATGGATAAACTCTTAAAGGGACCGCAGTCCAATATTCCTGCTGCTGTCTGTCATGTTAATCAAAGAACAAAAGACAAAGAAAATCATTTTCTGCTCTTGACTGAATACGTTTTATAACTTTAATGGTAAGCATTAATCTGTATTTAATTTTTACAATGAAGACTACAGAAATGAAAGTAATCAAATGTAAAATAACACTGGATGTGTTATTTTACATTTGATTACTTTAATTTCTGTAGTATTTCTTAACTGAATAAAAACTTACTTAGGCACAATATGTAAGATCATTTTTTTTTTAAATATCCAAAAACCATTAGAACAATGTTATATATTTTGCTGACTTGTGTACTTACATTATCCCAAATGTTTCGAAGAATGTTTAAATCCAGAGAAATAAGCAATTTTAACTAGTGACACAGAACGTGTCCATAGTGTCATTGTGTCGCCTGCCAATGACATCATACACCCTCAATTTCCGGTTTTGCTTTGTAGAAAACATGGAAACACCAAAGACACTTTAATATTTTGTGCATTTTAATAGACCGGTGACGACTGCACAGAGTAGCATAATAACAGAACTTTCAAATGTATCTAGTATGATAAAACAGCGCTGCTTTTTTACCCACATACGCACGACCGGAAGGAGCGGAAGCGGTTGACTGTGGCATAATAAAAGCTCCGCTGCTTTCGAGCCGTGTGTCACGCTCGGCCTCGTTTCGCTTCGACGGCTTTCAGCCTCACCCTGCTTCATTCTACTACGTTAATGGATTGCATCAGCTGAGGGGATGAAGACGACAACTCCCATGATTCCACACTCAGTCACAGCGTCATCAAACTACGCCTTTGATTATTTGTTTATTTTGAATACTGGGCCCTCTAGCGGCAAAAAATTACATATTGTGCCTTTAACCTGAAAAACTTAGTTTCATAGCTCTTTTCATTCTATTGCTTTATTTTACAAAGCACAAATCTTCTGTTTTTATTGTGAGTGTGCAAAAATAAAAGTAAACACTTTTGTGGATTATATCTTACTCCAAAAATTTAGTTTTTTTATGTTTCAGCTGTTCGATCGCGCCGGCGCCTCGCGCGCACACACACCACATATTCTAGGCTGTTGTGTTGTTTGTCTCAATAACCAGTCTGTATCGTTGTTATCTTAACTTTATTAACACACTCTCAACTACATGATCGCTCTTTTAACTCTCGCGATCACTCTCTCGTTCCCACCCCTTGTTCTTGCGATATCACTACACTACACTAGCAATTCATATTTACATCACAGTCTGTTTATTATAAAAAAAATAAAATACAGTAAACCAAACATATAAAAGGTTACACTGGTCAGTTTAAATAGACCATAGTATACCGGTCTACTCTGCTGTTAAGGACGTTTCTGCTCATGTGAAGAGGATGATCTTTTCCGTCTATATGCGAATGCGTGTAAAGTACAAGCCTAGTTTACATTATAAATAATAGTTTAACATTCAAATACATTGAGAATATGGAAACATTTGGATTTGTGTCAAATGAGACGCGAGCAATAACCTCCAAATTTAGCCAAACCCGCGCTCGCTCCGTCTCGTATGCACGCACGCATGCACTGTCATGATCTAATGCACTGTAAATGCCGGATTTTTAAAAACAAAATCTGACATGTTCCTGAACAGGATCCAGCAGGATCAAATTAAGTACTGGTCCATAATATTCACATAATAATGTTTAATGTGAGCAACAGTGTGTTTTGCTGCAGCAGCGCCGATGGAAGCGGTTCACTGACTGCAGCCACATGTGCCACAGTTATGTTTGGGATAATATTATTTTAAATGCCATAATGTCAGTTGAAAACATTGCAATTGTTTTTTAAAATACAACAATGAGCACCACTAAACCATTTAAAGAGGCGCGTTCAGTGGTCTCCGTGACGGGATAGGAAACAGTCAACGAAGTAAAATGATCTCAAACGCACGGCGCGCTCTCTTCATTTTATCAAATAATCATAATAATCACACGTATTCATTTTACAATCCTGCCACTACCATTTTATTCAGACTAAAACTCCTTTAATTCTGGTGAGAAAGCTTTTTTTGTGTGTGTGAGTGGCTTTTGCACATCCTGTCATGCCTTTGACTGCGTGCCGCTGCAATAGATGCATTTTGCAGCATTAAGGTTAACGATTAATCGATTAATTAATTGTTAATTTAAACGACGATCGATCATGGAACTTAACGAAAATTGACATCCCTAGTTGGCAACCCTACCGTCAGCATTCAGCAAATATGCATTTACATAATTTAAACAAATCTTTGAATGGCTAATGAAAATGTAATATTACAAACCTTGCAAACTTAGTCGAATCCAGTTGTGAGATCTTGTGAAGTGTGCATGCAACTGGCAAGATCGCGTGTTCTCTGTGTGACTTTCGGTCCGTGCAAATTGAATGCTTCAAAGGGGTCATATGATGCTGCTAAAAAGAACATTATTTTGTGTATTTGGTGTAATGAAATGTTTATGCGGTTTAAAGTTAAAAAAAAAACACATTATTTTCCACATACTGTACACTATTCATTCTTCTCTATGCCCCGCCTTTTTGAAACGCGTCGATTTTTACAAAACTCATCGGTCTGAAAAAGCGAGGTGTGCTGTGATTGGCCAGCTATCCAGTGCGCTGTGATTGGTCGAATACCTCAAGCGTGTTACTGTGATGGCGTGTCCCAGCCGGAGCGACGAGAAAAAACATTAAAACCCATTACAAACAAGGCATTTGTTGCATCCAGTGGGGACATAATTACTGATTATAATAACTTATACTGTCTTTTTATGCAACATTGCATCGTGCCGCGTAAACATAAAACCCTGTCTGCATTTGTGATCAGAGAAATGACAAACAACAAGTGCTACTCCATACTGCCCAAAACTCGCGTTTGAATCATCAGTGGCAAATGATAAAAGAAAACATACTTACGTGAGTCAGAACTGCCGACATTTTAGTCTAACATTACTCTCCCAGGATCAGTAAACAGTCCTCCATAAAATGTGCCTGTGATCCACAGCACTAAGTTGAAGTATTCCCTCAGCGACCAGCACAGATCAGCTCTAGCTCTAGCACAGCGGCCTAGCGTGAGCGAAAGCCCCGGCTTAGCGTGAGCTGAGGCGGCGGGGTCGAGAACGGCAGTCCCGGCGAAGGAGTGGTGAAAACGGTGAAAGCCGATCCGGCGATCCACAGAACTAAGTTGATGTATTCCCTCAGCGACCAGCACGGATCAGCTCTAGGCATGACGAAGTGGATATCGTC